CAGCAGGAAAAGCAACCAGCAGGAGGACTGTCAGATAAAGAGCTGGTTGAGAGCAAGGAGGATGATGTTTCTACTTACCCTTTCCTGTTAGCTGTTTTTCCTGCCATGAGCCCCTCACCCATTCACCCTCATTCACACTTCCCACAAACTGTATTTTCTACAGTTTGTTGTTTGTATTTTCTACAGTTTGTTGGAGGAAATGCTCAGTCAGTTCCAGTCAGCTACCAAAGCCACCTTCTAAGAGGATGATCAGTACTTAAGGGGCCCCGTGCTATAAACAATAATTGGCACGCAAATGGCTACGTCACTAAGTTCAGAAAGGCCCTGTGCAGTCATGACAGTCAACAGCAACCAACTTGAGCCACTGCTGAATCCAAATAAATAAAGGACTCCACATCAGAGAAGAATATTATAAAGTGAAATTTGTAACAGTTGTTACCTTTCTCTTCCTCTTCAAACAAAATATTTATTTCTACATCAAGCACTGGCTGCATGTTATGAAATAAACAACTATGTATAGCCACCCAGACTGTCCCAAAAAGGAAACACATGAAAACAAAAGCACGGTTACCTTCACTTCACCCATAGAGCTTCCCCTGCCTGAACTGGACAGAGGACGCCTACAGGAGCCCGTGTCTTTCTCACGCTCGTCGGAACAACGCACGCGAGAACAAGAACCTACAGAAGTCCTGCTTGCACGTAAGGTCAGCCAGGCCCTCCTACGCGCTTATCATTTTTGTTCATTCCTAATCTTAGAAGGAAAACAAAGGACACCTCTATAATCTTGCTCAACACTCCAAGTCATTTACATTAAGATATGATAGGGTACATCACACACGTACACCTGAGGATCAGGACCTTCTGCTGATCACAACTGGACAATCCCCGCGTTATGACTCCACAAAACGTGGAGTACGGAAATCTTCTTTTATCTTCATGGATGTTAAAGTTATGAAATTATAACACCATATTCCCACAATTGTGAAATGCGTATCATAAGTATTTTACCTTCCGAAAGTAAACAAAGTTTTAATATTTTAAAAGACAAAACTTTAAAACTTCTTTTATTCCATGCCCACTAATGATGATTGGCTTAATTTTTGAGTCATCTAGAAATCAAGTCTCTATCACTTGTTTTACATGAAAATAAGCTGAGCTAGATCAAAGGACATTTTCAAAATAGCAATTTCAAAATCTTTGTGAATGTTTAAGAATTTCAGATGAATGCAGTGCTACTACGCTGCAACTATGGGCACAGAATACATAAGCAGTCATTACATTATTCGGTTCCAAAAGGAATTTTACTAAAGAATTATAGAACTAGCATAGGAAAATTACTATAGTTTTTCATAACAACCCCTTCACTTTTAATAAGCTGGTATTGGTGCTGAATAAATGAGGTTGTAACTATTGTGTCTGTTTCTGGCTGAATGGACATTTCTAAGCACAGAATGAATGGAGTTCATTTAGAGGTCTTGCAAATGGACTCGGACTCTTTTCATGCACAATGGATCTCAGTAAGAACATTTAGGACAACTTTTTTTTTTAAATTTAACCCTTTAAAGTTAAAGGGAGAGAGTGGGAAAGAAAGAGAAATCAGAATAGTTTTGTTACTGTTCACCATTCAGCGATGGCATGCACACTTGTTTCACAGGAAACAAGAGACCAAGATCAGCCTGGAGGGAATTACCTCAATTTTTACACCTACAAATGAACTACAGCAGTCCTGATGCACTAAACAGTAATTAAAAAGAAAGCTTAACGATTATTTAGTATTACCACTTTGCAAGCCATCTTAATCATGAACAACAGGTTTCTTAATCCGTTTTCTTATGTTTACTCATGATTAAATACGTTATCATTTATAGATGCAGAAGGCTGAAATAATAAGGTGGAGTGACTTAAATTTCTTTAAAAAAAGATATTTCAAGTCCAGACGACATTATTTGAACACATGAATATTCTTATACGATTGGGATTACCCTCTGTTCACAGAGATTAAATATACATGCACAATGTGAACTGCAAGACAAAATCCAATCTTGCATTTAAGCCTAATATGAACCAGCACCCACTCCATCCCCTTGCTTATTCTAAAAATACCGCATTAATATATTTTTATTCTAGAATTCTCTGGTGAAAAAATAGGAATTCCTTTTAATAAATGAAGTCTATCATAAATAAGTCTGGAGGAGCTCCCTATTTTAACTTTTTTTCTTAGGGGAATAGCACCATTCTCCCACTGACTGAGCTAACCCAAATTTGACAGATCTGGAGATGCCTGAAGTAATTACATTCCTGCAGATTTTGTGAAAATTGGTGGTTAGGAGGGACCAGGATACTGCAGCGGAAACATGGGTAGGTCAAAGGACACAAATCCATTGAAAATTAGACTTAATTAGTGACATTGTTCTTTTTGTGATGATTACTCATCACTTTCTTGATAACCTGAAGAACACCGCTGTTAAAACTGGGGTGAGAAATGTGCTCTGCAATCCATAAAAAGCTCCAAAGATGAGCAGGAAGGCAGAACCCTGTTCACAATGCATTTGTTATTGGGGAGAAAATCTCCCAGCAATCAGCACCCTATCCCAAATCCCCCTAAAAGACAAAATCAACACCACCTCGCCTCCAGTCCCTCCCTCAGAAAAGACCAACCAAAATGTAGAGCAACTAACAACCCAGACAGCCGCCCCCACCCCTCGCAGTTCTGCGCGCCATCTCAGCTGACTCTCAGCCTCATTAAACTTTCTTTTCTCCTCCGTGGAAGCTGAGGGACTACAGAGAGAGCCAAAGCAGCAACAGCTTTTCAAAAGAGAATCAGACCTACTTTCTCTCCCTGCTTTCTCCCTCCATCTGAGGGGGAGTGTGACTTCATGTTCTTTGTGAATGTGAAACTTATCTGACTACATAAAGAAGTTCGGTGAAATGCATAACTCTGGCTACTTGAAATCAATGGAATCACTTATATTAGGGGAGTTCCTGGTACTGAAACCGCAGCCAGGATATTTAGAGGCCATACCAGAGATTAATGATGTGACATCAGCACTCAGTAACGAATTGAAACAGCCGACAAACAAAACACTGACAAAAATGCCCATTCCTCTGCTGATGTTTTTTACCTCCAAGTAATCACTTGAGAACTCTCAAAAGCAAAAGCTCAAACATCCTTTTATCAATGTTTACATACTCATTGTGTATATATGGCATTGTATACCACAATAGGCTTGAAACACCTTGTTCTATTAATTTTATTTCTACTATTTCAACATTAGGGCCACATAATGCATCTTATGAACATATTAAAGTTTTTGCTGTCAATAGAATTTGACTTCACCAATTACATTATGAGCAAATTTGATGATTAAACATAACATGATGCCTGTATATAGAGCAAATGAACATAGAACACACTTCAAGGTTTATTGCTAATCCATTCACAAAACCACACACATCTTCTATGGAATGGCTTAAAGACAGACAATCCTTACTTGCCATCCTTGCTTACTGTCTTACCTCCTCATCCATCTATTTCCGTATTCATATGGTCCTCTGACGAACTGATTCAGTTTGTTAGATGTCCAAAGAGGTGTATAGTTTTAGAAGTATTCATGAACCTGAATAACCCCCCAGAAGGCAAAAATCACTACATTCTAGGCAAGGGATGGAATAAGAAAAGTTCTTCTTTTAGCAGCAGCAGTTAAACAATTCTATATATTTTGTTTTTATTAAAATTAACAAAACAACAACCAAACAACAAACCAACAAATCATAGTTGTGTTCAAGCCAGCCACCAAATGATCAGAAAGACGTTCTCCATGAGCTTGTCTCCTGGAGCCTTTCTTTCCATTATATTGCCCAATACCATCTCTAGAACTGCTCTCAGACAACCAGGTAATGTACGTGAACTTTCCAGCACAGCACTAGAACCCAAGTGTCCTTACTGCGGTATTTTGGCAGTCATTACTTAACAGGGTCAGTTACTCCGAAAATCATATTTAGCATCACATGACGAAGTATTCATAGCATCCTTGCTTCTTTTCTACAGTATAGGGCTTTCCCCTGCAGCAGGAAAAATCACAGTAAAGCTTGTTATGAAGCTTTACTACTCTACAATTTTCATGAGAGGACTACAGAGTATTTCCAGTGATGAGGTTCAAAATTAATCACAATCATTTTTTAAAAATAACGTGGACATTTTACTCAAGAGTCCAAGAGTGGCACCTCATGTTCATGTAATGGAGCAGCTGCCCTTGCAGGAATGGAACCTGTAGAGATGACAGGCTCCTAGAAGAACTGGTAGGACGA